GGGGGGGGGAGGGGGCGGCATTGATCCCCACCTTCGTGAATCATGGGTGGCACATGCGCATTATTGCCGTCTCCCTCCCCGCTGCCCTCCATTACCGCTCCCCACGACGACCACCCACACATTTGCATGCCAATGCTCATTGTAGGCATCCCCAGCATGCCCTCTCTTTCCTCTCTCTCTATCTGTTCCCTCCTGTCCCCTTCTACAGCTCCACGTTCAAGTCGGCAGAGTCCGCACGTGATATCGGATTTGTGTCCGTGTGGAGGTTTTTTTTTCACAGCCACTCACCTCGACCGCGCAGATGGCGGCGTTAACGACGCCACCTTTTCGGAGCTGATGTCGAACCTGACGTCGACTTCCAGCTCATTCGATCGTCAGGACATGGTGGAGAAGTTTGTCGCGGCCAACCATCCCGGCTTTAGCGGCCAGCAGACGGCTCAGCTGATGACGGCGTTCCCCAACTCGCTCGTGGCCATTGACGTGCTCACCGCCATTTCGTCGAACGTGCTCGACTTGACGTGCGACGATGCTGTTGACGTGCTCCATGTCTTCTCGTCGGAGCTGAACTCGCTCGACGTACTCAAGGTGCTCTCGCCGATGATTGTGGACAAGAAGGCGAACAACGCGACGATTCTGGCGACGTTCAGCAACACGTTCAACAAGCGCGACGCGCTTGAGATTCTGGCGGCCACGCCGGACCGCAACTGCATCTTTGGCGATGTGACCAACATCCCGCGCATTGTCTTTGTGGTCGACACCTCGGGCTCGATGTCGACGACGTTTTCGTACGACCACGGCTCGCGCTCGACCTCGCGCATGGCCGCCGTTCGCACCGCGCTCACCGAGATCATCACCGACGTCCTCACCGACGAGCAGCAGTTTAACGTTGTCGAGTTTGCATCGTCGGCCACGGCCTGGCAGCAGGGCGTTGTCGACGTCAACACGGCCAACATTGCGTCGGCTGTCTCGTTTGTGACCAACATGTCGCCCGGCGGTTCGACCGCCATGCTCAAGGGCCTGCAGCTCGCGTTCGATGACCCCAACTGCATCGGCGTCTACCTGCTCACCGACGGTGAGCCCAACACCTCGATCGACGGCATCATCTCGGCTGCCAAGGCGTGGGCCGGCTCGGACAAGTCGGTCAACACCATCGCCTTTATCGCCGGCGCCTCCGACCCGGTGGCGGCCCAGAACATGCAGCGCCTCGCGGCCGCTGCCAACGGCATCTACCGCGTCATTACTGGCTAAGTCGATAGAGACGTAAACATATCGGGCTTTTTTCTACACCTGGGCCTTGCGGCTGTCGCTGCTGCCCTTGCCGCCGCCCTTGCCACCCTTGCTCTTCTTGCCACCCTTGCCGCCGCCCGTACCGGCCGGGACCTGTGCCGGGCCCGAGTCGGACGAGGGCGACGACGAGCTCGCCGACGACAGGGACTGCTCCGAGTCGACAGTGTAGCGGTCAAGATCGGCAGATGCCTTGCTCTTACCCTTGCCCTTGCCCTTGCCCTTGCCCTTGCCCCTGGCGGGGTGTCGTGGCTCGCCGCGCGACCAATCTGAGTTTGAGCTGGTGTAGTCAGAGAGCGACGGTGAGCGACGGCGCGATCGGGAACGCGACCGCGAACGCGATCGCGAACGCGATCGGGAACGCAACCGTGAGCGCGACCGCCTTGACCGTAGCGCCTCCATTTGCGCAACCCTGAACTCGGAGTTGAGGATTCGCCGCATGGGCACGAGAAAGTACAACGCGCCGGCAAAGACACCAGCCACCAGCAGCGAGAGAAACAGATTGAGGATTTGGATACCGGTCTCCCCGTCGACGATGATGCGTTCGAGGACAGCGATGACGACAGCAACAGCAATGGCAAAGAACAAGATCAGGGCAAAGATCTCAAAGAAGAGCACAACACGGGCACGAGAGCGGGCCCACATGATGGCAAGGACCACATGTATGATGTAGAAGACAGTGAGAACAATGACCGCCAAGGTAATCTTCGCATCGGCGCCATCCACCGCCGCAAGCAGCGCCACAAACGGAGCCATAACAGCCGTGACGAGGAGAACCTCCTGGAAGCGGACCGAGCGCTCTCCATACGCATCGACCCTTTGCTCCGCCAACCACTTTGGCTCGCACGACTCGAATGCTGCCGGGCTCGGTGCCCATGGCGTGTCGGATGATGACGACATGATCCCTGCAGTCGTCGGAAGATAGGGTGGTCGGGGTGAGGTGGTCGGGTGGTCGGGATGGGGGTGGTCGAGTGGTGGGGTGGGGTGGTCGGGTGGTCGGGGTGGGGTGGTGTTCGATGTTCGGCTGGTGGTTGGAATCGGGCTGACTGGGGAGGGAGGGGGGGAGGGGGGGGGGGGGGGGGGGGGGGGGTAGGGGAAGATGGGTGGGAACGGGTGGAGTCGGGCGGATCGGAGGGGTAGTCGGCGAGGGC